ATAAAGTGCATTGTAGCATGTGTTAGCAAATGAATCTCTGGTGACATTCAAGGTATATACAGATGATGAATCAACCTGAGGCAACAATTCACTCAAAGCATCAAAATATGAGTGGACTTTTTCCAAATGAACCTAATCTGTAATAATCAACTCATGACCTTTGACAAATACTTTTTGCCCTTTCTAAAATTATTCCAAGACTAGTGGAAATTTTCTAACAAATAAGATATTATTGAATGTGGAATCACAGTACTGCTCAAGTAATTTGTCCTCATTTGTGTGAATGGTATTTTCAAGCAGGGGCATGCTGTATGGAAGTTTACATTATCAGGATGTGCCCATCTGTTTAAAAATGTGAACCCAAATGTTTACACGCTGTTGATACTTTCAGTTTACATGGGATAGTGAGGCTGTGTTTGCCATTTTTGATTTAGTAGTTTTCAATAAATAACCAGTTTTATTAGTTACTTTTTTCAACATGTTTACCTTTTTACACTGAGCCCCTGAGAGACTAAGGTTTTTACAACTCTAACCCGATGTCTAAGAGTTACCTTGCTTTTAGAGCTCTCCACTTCTCTCCATCCATTTTCTACCTTAGTATTCTCAACCATTAGCATCTCTTTTGTGGTATGTGGCTCTTTCTTCCTTTATTAGATTATTTCGAGTCATATTGGCTTATGGTCAGACAGAAAACATTTGTCATACTCCCTTGCTGTCATATACACTTTGTTGACAAAAACCCACACAAATATCAAAATAGTAAGAGATAACAGGATTATTTAAATTCTCTATCCTTGTTATTTTTGACTATTTAAACTGTCAAATTCTGGGATAAGAATATTAATATCCCTCACTCTAACTGGGTCCATAAATATATGCTTATATTTCTAAGAATTCTTGATTTATGCATTTTTCTTTGATAATAGTTGACAATTTTTGGACTCTTGAATTGAGTTGATCCGTGAGTATTCATGGCTCCCAGCATTAGGTTTTTTGACTTCTTGAATTTCTTTGGTTTCTGATTTAGGCAGTTGCTCACTGTGTTATTTAGTCATGCATATGTTGTTGGGAATCATGGCATTTAGCATTATAAATAGACTTAATAGTATAGTTTCATGTGTTTATGGCCTATATACACCAACATTTTATATCACAATTGCAAACTAAGGTATTTTATTGTTTGTACTTGCCTAAAATACTTTTTCTATGCTTTTACCATGAACCTTTATGGATCACATTGTTTCACTTATTTTTTTAATTTTTATTATTATTTTTTTAGATTTTATTTATTCATCTTTACAGGGGAAGGGAAGGAGAGAAGGAAAGAAATATCAATGTATGGTTGCTTCTGGTTCATCCCCTGCTGGGAACTGGTCCCTACTGGGAACTGGCCTGCAACCCAGGCATGTGCCCTGACGGGGAATCGAACCTCGAACTTTTGGTTCAGAGGCCCGTGCTCAATCCACTGAGCTATACCAGCTAGGGCCCAGTTTCATTTACTTTTTATACAGTTTAAAATTAAAGTTCATGTGTGTCTATGTATATGCATGTATACACAAATCACACCAATTTAAAAATCTTTTTCCTTTAAAAATTATTTAAGCTTAGTTGCATTTATTATTACTACAATGCACTTAGCTGCAATTCTATTACCATATGGTATAATTATTTATGTATTATGGAATATTTAATATATTTCTCTATGATAAATTTTGCAGATATTTTCTATATTTTATTTTCATATTCAAAGGATTTTTGCGTATTTCTTTTGAGTAGTCGCATTTTACTAGTATCTTTATTTCATTAATTGTATTTCCATTTTTTGTTCTAATGTTTGTTTTATTTTATTTAAATCACAGTTTTTGACTCAAACATATTATCTACACAGTGTAGATATAGATGAACTTACTCTACTTCCCTCTTACTCTTTTATTACATTTTAGTTAGTTTAGTCAGAACATATAGCATGTACACACTATTCCTCCAACATATGTTCTACTTTTGCTTAAAAAACAGATCTACAGTTAAATATATTAATTAATAAGTGTGTTTACCACTTGAAGTTTCCCTAGTAGTTTCTGAAAAATAGACCAAAATGGATAACTTCAAGGCATATCTGATTCAGTCTTAAAGATAAAATATTCAACAAGCTTCTAAGCAACACAACCAATTCATTTATATGTGCCTAGTCATTTATAATGGAAAGAAAAACAAGTCACTGTAATTTTCTCAAAACTAACATTAAAAAATAAGACAATAATGCAGTAATATTTTCCAAGAAATTGAAAAGCATCTGTGAAGGAGAAATAAGGGGCAGATTTACTGTTTCTCCTTAAAACATAAAAATAAAAATAAAGCTAGACTAAGCATGTGAGGTTTCAGACCTTGCATAACAAACAGAAAAGGGTGATGATTCCTGAAAGAAGGGAAACAAATGAGGTGGTTGCCCCACTTACTGCCAAGGGTCTTTATGCTACAGGAGCGAGGGGAATGAGCTCAGAGACAGGTGTTCTCTTTAAGTTGAGAAGACATTATTGAAAAAATTGCACTTGTGAAGTAGAAAGAATCCAAAGACAGAGTACCATAGAGGAGAAAGCTACATGGGGTGCGCAGTTGCAGAGAGAGAAAAGAGAGAGCTCCGGAGATCTAGAAAAGGGTTTTTTTTACATCTTCAGCTGAGAATTTATCAATTCATGCATGAGTGGAAACTAATGATGGCTGGTAAAGAATCATTGGAAGGAAACAGAATAATTTCTGGAATGGAAAGACAATAAGAATTCATGCTCCCATCATTCCAAATAGAGAAACTTTTCAGTATTTTGAGTATCAGTACTCAGAAGAATATTGCCTTAGCAGTGAGACACAATGAGCTTCTCTGAGACCAGCACTCTGACAGCAAAAGCTGACAAAACTATTAGACAATAGAAAAGTATGGGTCAATGTGTCTGAAGAATATAAATGCAAAAATAAAATGTTAAAAAATTAAATTCTATAATATAGAAATAATAATAAAATTATTAATTATAGAATTATATTTTGTTTGGATTCTAACGTCAATCAGTATAATTCATCATAACAAAAAAATAAAGGAGTACAAACTCCATATGACTAACTCAATAAATGGAGAAAGAGTATTTGACAAAACTCAACAGTCAGGCATGATAAAGAGTCTCAAGAATTTAGGGGTAGAAGGAAATATCCTCAATGAGATAAAATGCATCTCTAACATCAGAAATAGGCATGAGAGTTATAGCGAATGCACAGTGAGCAGGAGACCATCAGTTCTCCACACAGAAAAAAAATAAGATAAAATTCTTCCACCGCCAAATAAAAAACACAAAGATAAATTCCAGGTATACTAAAAAATTATCCATAAAAATATCCCCAGAATAAAGTAAAGGAGACTTTCTATGAAACATTAAAAAAAGGGTAAAATTTTTAAACATTGTACAAAACAATCCCACAATTGTGAAATAAATTTGAATCCAAAACATTATACTGTAACAAAAGTCATATGAAAAAGAAATAAATACAAGAAGTACTTGGGGAAAATATTTCTATACTTTTACTACAAGCAACAATTAGCATATTTGCATGCATGTATATGTGTATATTTAAAACTGCTACACATAAACAAGGAAAATAAAAAGATCCTTGTAGAAAAATATAGCTAAAAGAAATGGACAATAATACTTAAAATATATTTTTTAGAATTTTTCTATTCTTTACCCTTGTTAAGCCTTTCTCCCATTGCCTAATATTCTTTCCTGTGGGAATCCAAAACTTCTTTCTTGCATTAATAGACATTGATTTCCAGCCATATCCTAGACATTGTTCTAAGGGTTTGGGGTACAGACCTTTTTTACTTCCTGAAGTTCTATGTGCATATAAATACTTCATTCTAAAGATGAACTCAGGGACAATTTCCAGACTACTTAATTTTAGACAAAATGATTCAACTAGTCTTTTGATCATTTCAGGTATGTTTATTTTTTTAAACCACCATTAATCTTAATGCATTTGTGACTGAAGGATACCACAAAACAGAAGATGGTAATGGAAAAATATTAAGTCTCCACTAATCTTGTGGACTTTAATATTGCCTTTTTGCAGCCCATAAATCATTACAAACAGCCAAACCCCTACTTAGTATGCCAAGCAAGGCATTGCAGCTATGATGATACTCCATGATCTACTCTGATTTAATGAGAATTATTGGAAAAATAAAGAAAAAATGTACCTCAGAAGTTCTCAAGTATATATTGGGACTAACACCCAAACCTTTAATTTCCTTTGTGATTTTCTTCCCTCTAACTTCCCACTCAATAGCTCTTTTCAGTGCACATTCAGTGCATCTGCGATGAATATTAGGTCCACACTTCTCTGGTTTCTTCCATTTTATTACATTATATTAGGGGGAGGGAGATATTATTTTATTGTTATACCTCACTAATGAAAGTTGACATGTTTGTTATTTGCTTTATTTTTGTTCTGTTTCTCATTGAACATCCATTTTTTAAAGATGCTTTTTATTTATTTTTGAGAGAGGGGAAAGGATGAAGAAAGTGTGAGAGAGAAACATTGATCAGTTGCCTCTCTTACAGGCCTGGACTGGGGACTGAACGCACAACATAATCATGTGCCCTTACCAAGGACACAGATAGCAACCTCTCACTTTGTGGGACAATGCCCAGCTGAGCCACGCTGGTCGGGGCAGAAATCTATTTTTTCTTAGAATATTGTTACCAAGATTCATTTTTTTCAGAAATAACGGAGATTTCCTTTCCATTTTGATTTGCTCCACATTATATACACCTCTTCACTGATCTTATGTTGATGTATTAATAATCTATACCAATCTTACATGTGACTTTGGAATAAATTTTAGTTTAGACAGTTGAAATATGAGATTTTTACGAAGGCCTGGTACTTAGTACACATAATGAAGAAATATTTTCATCCAAATTAATTGTTAGTAATTATGTCCCTCTATTCTGCAGGAGAGAATGTTTAGATTTCATCAAGTGAAACATCTATTTGAAATACTGGATAAAATGAGATGCCTGCGAAAACGTTCTACAGTGTCATTCTTGGGAGTTCTTGTAATTTTCCTTCTATTTATGAACTTGTACATTGAAGATAGCTATGTTTTGGTAAGTTTGGGAGGTTGATTTTTGTTATTGTTGTTTATAATAAGGCCTAAATCAAATTAGACGTAGTTAAGACCTAGTTGTGTGGCTCAGTTGGTTGGAACCTTCACCCACACACTCAAATTAGACATAGTTCATTGTTAACCTAACTTTAATTCCAGGCTACTAGAATAACCTTAGTTTGAGAAAAATTATAACACATATATTTTGTACCTGCTTTTTGCATTAATTTTATATTACCAACTTCAGAATTGTTTTATGTTATGTTACGATGTTTTTAATACTATATATATATATATAGTAGTACAAATATTTATATCTAGTTACAAATAAGTTATCTATCATTGGTGCTTAATTAATTTATGCAAAACCATTTCAGTATTTGAGCTTTAATTTGAAATATGTAGAACAAAATTTGCTGAATGGTATTGCACCTTACTTTTCTGCTTTTTTGTATTATCAACATTTATAAAATCTCATTGTCTAATTAATAATATTAATTGTGCTATTTTGCATGCCTGCTTCAGAAGCACATATACTAATCATGTTATTTTGCTAAGAAGTAATATTTTATTGCAATATGTGACATCTCATTTAGATTTTGAATTGCCCTAAAAGGCCACCAAGTTATATATTTATATTTACTGATAAGTGATATAGAATCGCAAAAACTATTCAGCAGTTTATAAAAGATAAACTAATGTAATATATTAATTAATTTTAAATGAATTATGGAATATCCAAAAGGATTTATTCTGTTTAATTGTGAGAACTTAAACTGTTTCAATTATTTATTGTTCTTGTAATTAGAGTAATTTTATATGTGATGAGAATAACATGGATATTATTGCTTATTCACATTTTCTCTCTAGGCTGAGCCTAAGATATCTGGAAAATATCCTAATTTTTATGTTATTATTCTTGTTCACATATTTCAGAAAATTAAATTTGGACATATAGAGGACTGAAAAGTATGCTGAAAGTATACTTTTCCATTATGCAAGCATACTGAAAGTTTGAATTAATACTTTAGTAACAGATAATCTGAAAGTAACCACAGACCATTTCTCAATAAAATGTTTTATTTTATTAATTAACATGGTTTACTGACTATCCACTATATTCCAGATACTATTCCATGTCCTATTAGGCAACCATGTGATTTATGCGCAGATTTTTTAGAAGGTATCCTATAAAACACTATGCCTTTTTTTTGCATTTTTCTTCTATTGTGGAATTCTGCCAGATTCCTATTTTCTTGACATTGTCTAGGCCTTTTATCGTCAGGTGTAGTTCTTGATCTTGTGGATTTGTCAATCTACCATTCAGCTAATGCACAATGGCTGAAACACCACAGATTAATATAATTCGACTAAGCATGATTTAGGTAAACAGTGCACTGGAGAAACTTAATAATGATATTCATTTAGAAACTTGATTATTAATTTTATAAGATTTAAAGACAATTGAGCAAAGCCCATGTGATCCAACTTTTTAAAATAAAATTAAAGATAATAAATTAATGAAAAGGGCTCTTAATTAATTATTTAATTGTGCAATAAAAATTTACTTCTTGCATCTGTGTCTACTGGTAAAAGGAAATGACATCTTATAAATCAAACACATGATATTGATGGGATGCTTGCATTCAGTGATTTGCTGCATTTATGAGACACTTTCAGGAGCAATTTTAATGTTTCATTTTAAAAACAAAAAAGATCACTGTGTACAACAAACATCTTTGTATTGGAATAAAATATCTTTAAATTCACTATAAAATGTGTAAGAAGAAATAGATTATATATGCATGAAAATGTCAAATATTATTGCTCTGTTTTGTAAATTTTTACATATTCCTGTTTAAAAATAGGTCCTAGCCCCCTAATGTAAAAGGTATGATTTAATTAAGTAGCTCTTCCTAAAAAGTACTTTCTCATTGAAATTTCCTCTGGCTTTATTAGCCAGAAAGTATCCAGCCATGTAATATGAAAAATGGAGATACTTATTGAAGAAGATACAAGAAACACAAGTAACATTGTTCATAGGATGATGATGCATCAGCCCCCTTGAAGGTAGATACCTGTGACCTCACACAGTTCTCCCAGCCTCCGTTCCATTGTTCAAAATACTCTGGAATCAAGATTAGCTACCCCATTATATTTTCTTGAATTTCTTTTTTTTTAAATATTTTTATTTATTTTTCGAGAGAGGGGAAGGGAAGGAGAAAGAGTGGGAGAGAAACATCAATGTGTGGTTGCCTCTCCTGAGTCCCCTGCTGGGAACTGGCCTGCAACCCAGGCATGTGCCCTGACTGGGAATCGAACCTCGATACTCTGGTCCACAGGCCCGCGCTCAACCCACTGAGCTACGCCAGCCAGGGCAATATTTTCTTGAATTTCATCAGTGGTCTGAAATCTCTTCTCTTTCAAAGTTGATTTTAGTTTTGGAGAAAACCAGAAGTAATAGAGTGCCAAGTCTGGGTTGCATCAGGGACTGAGTCACCTGGGTGATTTGATGTTTCACCAGAAATCTCTGCATGAGACATGATGCATGAACCAATGCATTGTCACCCTGAAGCTTCCAATCACCAGTTGCCCCTTGATGTGGCCTTCTGAATCATCTGAATAATTTCCACAGAGGAATATTCGACCTTAAACCAAAACTTGATGCAGATTCATTGCTTTACTCACTCAGTCATTTTGAATGCTATGACCACACAGTACACATACTCACTCAATGAAGTCTGCCAACCCCACTGACTAGTACAGTGAAGTCATCATTGTTCACACATGAGTATTGCAGGCTACTGTCCTTGGCTATCAGTTTACATTGATGTCATGTAAACCATTCTCATTATATTAACAATCTTGTTAATTGTTGTATATTGTGTATTATGTTGTACATTGTATATTGTAATTGTGGTCGATATTGCATATTAACAGTATCATTATATTGTTAATATAATGAGAATATATCTGGACAAACTTCCTATCTATCTAATCAAATTTGCAAATTAGCCCTGGTACAAGAAGAAATTAGTTCTTAGCTTTAAAATTTCTAATATTTTACAACACATCACCTTTACACTGTTGTGTATTCATCACCCCAAATCAAGTTGGATAAAATTAGTTAAAATGATTTAAAATACAAGAAACCCCATGATTGAAAATGCAATGAAAGTATTTTATCCATTTAATTTTTCACTATGTACTAGATGATATTAACTACCTAACTTGTATTTTGAGCTAAAATTTATTCCAATATTAGTATGTATAAATATTGGAAACATTCTTTAAATATTAATATAAAACTACATTAAAATTGTTCTTCTAAAAATGTTTGATTATTTATGGAAAACTCATCCCCTACTAGAAAGGACTGCAGTTTCTTTTTAACATTTCCCCTTTTTGATCTTATCTGTGTTATTTCATTTTCCACAAAATTATCTGACTTGATTTTCTCTCTTGACTCTAAAATGACACAATACTTGTGATTTTCTAAGCTTAGACATTAGTTGGTCTTTCTTTTCATGTCTTTTTTATTTCAGGGAATATACTAGTTAAAATTCAGAGAAATCAGAGTAAAAAAAGTAGCAAGGTAGCCAGAGTTACTCAGCAAATTCACTTCTACTCTTTTTGCTAGGAAATGTATTGGTGGCCTGAAATCCTGGGCATATAACAGTTCAGTGTGTTGCCACATATTAAAGACACATGTGCCTTTCAGTGGTTGTATAAGACAAATAACATCACAAAGCAAACTAAGTAGATGAGACACTGTATGTCCAATCAACTTAGCCTCTGGGCTGTGAGCATCTTCAAAGTAGCCATTAGGGTATATATTTATTCTGTAGCTAGTCCATTGAATTGCATTCCCATCCAGAAAATGATTTTCATAAAGCTTCTTCTTGGTACTGATAACTCTTACTATAACATAGAGTTACAGAAAGAAGGTACTCAGGTAGAGTACCTGGCTGTTCAGGTATGTGCCTCTGGAAAGCAGCCAAGAAGGCTGACTCTGGTAAAAGTTTCATTGTTTATTTATGCTGAAAAGGGTAAAGCTTATTCTTGATAATTTTATAAAGTTATTTTATATTTGTTCCATTTTAATATTTTATATTCTATGTCCTTTAATCAAGGTGAACATATTATATCTTATCACAAAAATATGAATTTTTATGTGTTGGTGATAGAATTCTTAAAGTAATATCCAATATCCTGCACTTCTTTTATAATGTGGCATCACCCAAGGACAGAATGGTAAAATGAATATAGTGTTGTGACTACTGTAATTTTACAGCTATATCTTCTAGACTATATTGATGATGGACACCATTACATTACTATTAAAGTAGTTCATGCTAAACTGAGTCCTAGTTATTTTTGACAATCCTAAATATTCTCATTTAAAATTTTAATAATGTTTTATAGGTTTTCAGAAAGACAAAGATGAAAATATTTAAATGTAAAATTTTAAAATAATCATATTCAATGGATATTTAATTACTATATCTCTAAAAAATTAGCATTCAAGGTTTAATTTTATATAATTTCAAAGTCTGTAACTTACAAATGGCAAATGCATTGTAAATCTTGTAAAAGACTAAATAGCTTTTCTTTGTTCAAATTATCAAAGCAATATAAAATATAGAAATACAGTGTTAAAAAGCAAAGGTAGATGTATAAACAGAACTTAATATGCAGAAAGAAGATAAGAATGAATCTCAATGTAGCAAGGACCAGATTGAAAGCTCCTCCCTGTTGCGGTCAGCGATTCTCAACTTTAATTTTAAACAAATTCCAGTCTTGCCATAGATTTAAAAGTTTGATTAGTCATCTTTTCCATTGACATTTGAAATTGACACAAAGTAATAAATGTTCCAATTAAGGTAAATTGTGGATTTGAGTGCTTACTAATCTTTTAAAACAAGGATTTAATTAAAGTTTTATTGACCACAGCCAAATAATATGAGGACCAAACTTATTTAATGCATTCACTTTCTCTTTAATTGCTTGCCCATCCCTAATCTGCCATTCTACAGTAAAGAGTTGAAATAGGTCTCCATAAAACCACACAGTAAACATCTTGCCCCAAAAAATCACCATTTTTTTTCTAAATAGGTTGTTCCTAAACATATTCTGTGTGCAGTAAACCATATACAAAAGCCAAGTAAGTCATCATTTTGCAAATAATATACAATCAATAGAGGTTTGATCAAATGGTGATTAGATAAAAATATATACAATTAAACTTATATTAAAAAAGGAAGAAAAGGAAGCAATGAATGGCTAACAGGATATATTTTAGCCAAATATGAGTACATTTTCTGAAATACAAACCTTCCCAGAGATTGAATGGCATAAGTCCATTACCAAGTAGACATTTAAAAGGGATCTTACAAATAAAATAATCAGACTTTTCACTTCCAACAAAATACCACGCACACAAGCAATGAGCATATTTCCCATATCATGGGAAAGCTAGTGGAAGAGCTGAAGACTTTTCCTTGACTTGGTGCAAATGGATTCTACCTGAGGCACCTGAAAGACGTGTGAATAAGACGTCACAGCCAGCATTCTCAACACCCTTCGATTATTGTGGCCGAATAAGTTATTGACTAAAAATTTTTGATTAAGAAATTATACAAAATCCAATTATATGTAGTACTGCATTTTCCTTATTATCCCTAAAATTTCCCAATCAGAAATAATGGGTGATTTTTTATGAGCCAGTTCTAAAAGAAGAGAAAATAGCTTAATGTATGACTCAAACTGAGGAATTTAGTGGCAATTAGTTTTACATGAAATTGTAAAATAGATTAATATCAAATTTTAAGATCTTTGAATTATTGTAAAGGAGTTGAATTTTAACATGAAGGCACTGGGAGTTTTCATGCAGAGATTTTTTATCAAGATAATTTCATTATTAATGTATATATATAACAAAACAAAGTACAGTATTAAGAGTAAAACAGCGTAGAGGGAGCCTGGAGCAGAGACTGTAGACAGGAATTGAGTGAGAGATAATGATCTACAGCAGTGCCAGTAATTGAGATTTATATGATATACATATCATATGTTGGACACATAGAATCATTGTATAAGGAGAAGCTTTATTTTAATTCATGACTATTATTCATTTATTTCCTCTGCCTCTGTGTTGGCACTCAGGAAGGAGACAAACAACTCATAAGGGAAACATCCACCCATCAGCTTAATTCAGAACGCTATGTGCACACTTTCAGAGATTTATCTAACTTCTCAGGAGCCATCAATGTCACCTATCGCTTCTTAGCTTCCACTCCTTTACAAAGAAAGCGTAAGTACCCTTACAATTTTAAGTCAAGAGTAGGGTATGAAAATATGTTGTTTAAACATAATGAAGATTCACTTCATTTGTAGAGCAATAAAATTTTACAGGGTTATTATTATAACCTATTTTGAGGAAATATTTTAATGTTTCTTCACTAAATACAATTACTGGTCCAATTCTGTTAATAAAAAAATTAAATACTTTACCGTTGGTGAACTTTTTAACAGTTTGCTGTAGAAGTGTGTAGAGACTAGAAAAAAATCAATGCATTTTAAATTTAAAATTTTTTTAAGTTATCTTTTAAAAATAATGATTCCCATATTGATACATTTTTAAACTTTAATGGTTTGTTTTTTGTAACTGGCCACAAGTTTTTAATTAGTGAAAGTCATTGTATCTGTTTCCCAAGGTATTATAACATATGTTATAATATGTGTAAACCACAAACTAGGTGGTTTACAGCAACAGAAATGCATTCTCTCACAATGGTGGAGGCCGGAAGTCTGAAATCACGGTGCTGGCCATGCCGCACACTAGGGGGAGGTCTAGGAGAGAATCCTTCTTTGCCTCTTCAGGTTTCTGATTGCTCTTGGCATTCCTTGGTTTGTGGTAGGATGATCACAATCGCTGCCTTTGTATTTACATGGTCTACTTCCTATTGTCTTCTTTTGTCTCTCTGTGCCCTCTCCTCTTCTTGTAAGGTTACTAGTCATTGAATTTAGTGGCCACTCTAAATCCAATTTAAATATACCACAAGATCCTTAACTAATACATCTGCAAAGACCCTACTTTCAAATAAGGTCATACTCTGAGGTTTCAGGTAGATATGAATTGTTGGAGGAAACAATTCAACTTACTGCAAGTGTTTGAATCCAGGAAGTAACATGTTTCATTGATTTCAAGGCACCACAGATTATGGAAATATCATGATCAAATTACTATACCACTAAGAAAATAGGAATGTTGATCAGTTTTAATAGTAAGATGCCATCAATTATGATATGCAACTGAATTTTTAAATATTTCTGCATAAAATATAAATTTGAGAATCAATGAAATACGGTGATATCATGAACTTCTTAAAAGATTGTGTGAATACCACAAAAACTAAGTTCCCCGTTAAGAAGAGTTTATGCAAATGGATTTATGATGACCAAATTGAGGAAGTTGTAACTCAACTCAGATTTCTCTAGGTCTGTCATTCATGTTACCATTCCAAGTATTTACCTCTCTTAAGCTTCTGTCTAACTGCATAAGACTGCCACTAACTTTTTTGTGTACATCTGTTACACCGCCTTCGTTCAAACATTACTCATTTCCCTTTTCCCATGCTCAATTTACTAATGTATATTGGCACATATGCCAAGTGCTTTATACGAAAGAGACAATGTTGAACAGAGTAAGAGGAAGACAGTTTGAATCTCGCCACCACACTACTTACTGCATGATGAGCTTTGCGCAGGTTACCTAACCTCACTGTGATTCAATTTCCTTAGCTCTAAAGCAGGAATGAGATGCACAAAGGTAGACCAAGACTATTATGAATATTAAGATGCATATTGCAAGTAAAATGCAAACTTCTGCCTTTTTTGTAGAAAGTGTTCTATTAGCATTGCCATCATTAGGCATTAATATAGGCTGGTGGCTTGAGTTTAATTGTACAGATAGTACATCAGCTTTCAAAAGTCAGAGTATTAAGTCAGTTATTTATATAAAATGTGTAAATCTCTGCTCAGCTGACAGACTAGTAAGAAAGATGTTTCTTTTTCCAATATTGCACAATTCACATTATGTAGGTATCTGTAGCAAAGCATTGATCTCAGTGAATATAAACATGTTCTTGTTTTACAAATTGTGGTTCTGAAATTTTATTCTGTGCTCAGTTGTGGTGAAAATGAGAACTTTAAAAAGTAAAAATATTTCCATAGAAAGACATCTAACACTTCTCAGAGACAAACTGTCTTTTCACCAGGTTTAATTTTATTTTAAAATATATTCAATTTCTAATTTTATATTTTAGTATCAGAATAAAAATTTCTTCAGATAAAATCAATATAAAAAGCATTTCAAGTAAAAGATTAATATTTACATCTTAGAACAATGTACTATACATTTCAGCAACAATGCACTTTTTCAAAATGAGCTCATGATACTGTTTGCATTCTGATTACCTTACTAGATAAATTTCAAAATAAAGTTTTGAAGTCCATTTATGCATTCTTCTGATATAAGATAGTGCCAGTGATCAAAGAAAAATTAAAATAATGTTTTCTATGAAAAATTTTAAGACAAGTAAAGAATATTCTTAATTTACGTTTTCATAGGTTGAGGCTGTCATTTTTAACTGTGAATTTTATCCTCCACAGATTTTTAAAAATAGCATGTATATTATCTAAATATCTATCTTCTGTAATGGGTATATATGAAAACATCAAGCTGAAGAACACTTTAAACCATATTTTTCATTTTATTGTTTACAGCAATAAGACTCATACATCATTGTGCTTAAGCTGCAATTTTCCATAAAAAGTATCAATTATGTATAAGCTACTATTGCTTTTATGTGTTTAACATAACATTTTAATCACAAAATGTTCCGTACATAATCATTCACTGGATTGACTTAATATAGTAGCAAGCCTTGGGGGAAATAACTTTTTGTTTCTATTCTATGTTATTCAAAACCTATTTTTCATTTAATTTGTTGTCCTTCTGAATTCTTTTGCTCAGGGTTTCTTACAATTGGACTATCATCAGTGAAACGAAAAAAAGGAAACTATTTACTTGAGACAATCAAGTCAATTTTTGAACAATCCAGCTACGAAGAGCTGAAGGAAATCTCAGTGGTGGTTCATCTAGCAGACTTTAATTCATCCTGGCGTGAGGTCATGGTTCAAGATATTACACAGAAATTTGCCCACCATATTATTGCAGGAAGATTAATAGTTATACATGCCCCAGAGGAATATTACCCAATCCTGGACGGCCTTAAAAGAAATTACAATGATCCAGAAGATAGAGTCAGATTTCGTTCCAAGCAAAATGTAGATTACGCTTTTCTGCTTAATTTTTGTGCCAATACTTCAGACTATTATGTGATGCTTGAAGACGATGTTCGATGTTCAAAAAATTTCTTAACTGCCATCAAGAAAGTAATTACATCTCTAGAGGGAACTTACTGGGTAACACTTGAGTTTTCTAAGCTTGGCTATATTGGAAAACTTTATCATTCACATGATCTCCCACGTTTGGCACATTTTTTACTAATGTTTTATCAAGAAATGCCTTGTGATTGGCTATTGACTCATTTTCGGGGTCTATTGGCTCAAAAAAATGTTATTCGTTTTAAACCATCTCTCTTTCAGCACATGGGTTATTATTCATCATATAAAGGGACAGAGAATAAGCTGAAGGATGATGACTTTGAAGAGGAGTCATTTGACATCCCTGATAACCCTCCTGCAAGACTATATACCAACATGAATGTTTTTGAAAATTATGAAGCGAGCAAAGCTTACAGTAGTGTTGATGAGTACTTTTGGGGAAAACCACCTTCAACAGGAGACGTCTTTGTGATTATATTTGAAAATCCAATTGTGATTAAAAAAATTAAAGTGAGTACTGGAACAGAAGATCGGCAAAATGACATTTTACATCATGGAGCTCTAGATGTTGGAGAAAATGTTATACTTTTCAAACAAAGTAGACAATGTGATACTTACATAAGACTAGGGGAATTCAAAAATGGAAACTTTGAAATGTCAGATGTGAATCAAAAAATTCCATTTGATATACGGTGTATAAGGATATACGTTACCAAAACCCAAAAGGAATGGCTAATTATTAGGAGTATTAGCATTTGGACTTCTTAGCCAATTAAATCAGTATGTCCTGTCACTGAAACAGGTCTCTCTGTTTCCTTTTTGTTATTTTCATCTTTTGCTACCTTTGTCCTATGGAGTTAAAGCAACAGATGGGACATTTTTTAAAAGAAAAGTCAATCATCCTGGAAGTTTTGATTTGCCCATTTTCATCACAATTTTACTCCAATGTACACTTGCACTTATATCAAACTCTGAAGTTGAATATAAGTTCACAGTTAATACTAGTTTCATTTATATTTTAATGTTATTATGTTAGTTTCAAAATTTAACTAAGTGTCTGAAAGGTGGCATGAAGAACTTAAAAAGAAATTTTAGTTTATTGGATGGTAAGTCTTGAAAAATATTTTCCAACTGTATACATTTCCTCAATAACTGATAGTTTATCATATCATCAGATAGCTTTTATTAACCCTTTGTGTGAATATGCAGTTGGTTAGAATGATAATCTGTTGGGGGTTTTTGTTTTTTGGACACTGAGTTTTCCATAGACCCTTGTACATCTACAGTGAATACCTCCTCATGGAAATAATGTCTTTACAACTGAATTTTGTGTGTTGGTGGGACTATAGAAAGAAAAATTATCTCCCCTGATTGTTTATATGAAAGGGGGCATTGATTATTGTATAAAAACAATTGAGCACCTGTGATCAATAAATTTTCTGTGGGAGTCTTTTTCTAGTTTCCCTTTTGCAAAAAAATGAATAGTTATGTTCAATATTTATAGGGTACATTGGGTACCTACATTTAATAGAAGAAATTAGAGAAGGCCTATAGTTATCTCAATCCTAAAGCATTCTCAGTATATACATGAATTTTTTTAAATTGACTTTATATGTTTTGTATTAAAATTCATGTGATTGGAATCATTGTGACTTATCATATACTTTTTGGAAGTTTAAATGAGCCTCTTATCAAGGGCAAAAGTGAGAAACAAAGAAATCAGTTGCCTTCTCGGTACTCAGAACTGATTGAAAGTCAAGCCAAGCCAGAGAGAGAGGTCACATGTCCTGACACCCAGTGTCCATTCTCTTTACAGAGCTTGCTCCTGACACAATGTGTGCTTTCTGTTTCCTGATATGAATCTCAGTGCATGAGTTGTACCATCTGGAAATAGTTGGTATAATTTTTTATAAATCCTATTAACATTCTTTGTGTAACCCTAAAGTGTCCTAACTGGTGCTCTTGTGGTATATGTACACAAATGGTAAGCAAACGACTAAATTTTGCTATAAGAAACTAGACAATTGTGACTGCACCATTTGTCCATTAAAGGAATTCAGGACACCCCAGTGCATCTTAAAAACATTGTTTTTTAGAATATTCTGAGCTTGTCTCATACTTTCTATTTTTTACAAACAAAAAAGATAAAAGGATTTATGATAAAATGAAATGAAGAGTACTTTGTGTTTATGGAATCAAATATATGTTTATATAGATGAATGTGTGTATGTGTGTGTGTGTGTGTGTGTGTGTGTGAAGATCAAACTTGTGATACTGAAAAAGAAATTCTTCTTGTTCGTTCTTCCATCCTGAAACAAAATCCTAAGGACTCATTGGTATGCTACAGTAAAAAGAAAAAAAAGGTGGGGGAATTATCTCACTCATTCTACCCAAATTGATTAAATTAAAAACTCAGATAAAATATTGAAAATATTTTCTTTAATTGATGCATTAGTTGTGTATTTTCTGCACTCAGTTGCTATATGATTAGAGGAAATGTGAACCTTTAAATATTAATTTTTGTAGCATGTCTAATTCTTAATGTCATAGAAAAGATTAATAGTGTCACTAAATTATTATCTCTACATCGAATTGGAGAATACTTGCTACTTACTTAGAGATATTGTTTCCTTGGCTTTTCTCACTTTTTTTATTAGCTGATTAGTTGTATAGTATTCTGCACATATCTCAGAATTTCCAAAAAATATTTTTCTGCAATTTCAATGATAAAAAGAATACAGCAAAAACATAAATATCAAGATCTACACAGACTGCATGAAGTGAGTTGTAAACTTTTACGTATTCTGAGAGTGATTCCAAAGACCAACCATTGACACTGATATCTAGAAAATGCTTCAAGAAAGATTACTGAGGGTAACAGGAAAATTGGATGTTTGTTAGAGAATTACAAATGCAAATATAACACCAAGAGGTCATATTTAATCTCAAATTGGATCCTTTCATTACTGAAATTAGGTTTGAATCATCTGGTAAGTCACCTAAGAATGTATGTGTTATTTGTAGATTGACTATGTAGGTCAGCTTTTTAGGGAAAAGACTTTTTTTTAAAAATTACTCTTGTTCAATTACAGTTGTCCTCATTTTTCCCCATTACCCTCCCCTGCCCTACCCACACCTCACTTTCCACATTCTATCCTCTCCTCTCCCCCACTGATTTTGTCCATGTGTCCTTTATACATGTTCCTCTACATACCCTTCCCCTTCTTTCCCTTATTATCTCCCTCCCCCCTCCCCTCTGGTTACTGTCAGTTTGTTCTTTATCCCCATGTCTCTGGTTCTGTTTTGCTTGCTGTGGGGACAACTTTGCCCACAAAGTCCCCTTGTCAGCCACGGATGAAAGTGAAACTACCAAGACATGATCTGCCTTGGGAGGAGAGGTGGCCAATCTCTCAGAGGAGAAGGGCCAAGAGCCCCTACTCAAGGGGCTTTTATCAGGTTCGTTTGCACAAGAATACAGGTAAGGATCAAACAATAGATAGCATTCAAAGAACTATGAGGGCTTATTCTCAGTCAGGGTCAGATAGCTAAAGAGCCATAAAACTTTGAGGAACAATCTTCTTGCTTGGACCCTTATCATTTAAATGACAGCATTCTAAACAAAGCAGGTTTTACAGGATTTTACATATTCTTTCTTAGGCCTGATTACCCAGGGAACTTGCCCTTTCCAGCCTAGGGCTGCACTGCCTTCCTCATCATAGGTTTTTAGGCTTAAGGGGAATAGAGCCAGGAAGCACTCGTCCCAGATGGAAATGGGGACTCAGGCTATGTCAGAATAGCTGGGAGGTGAGGGTCCATTGCTCCCTCTCTGTCTCAGCTCCCCCACTTCCCAAGTTCTTCCAAGATGGCCTCCTAAGTGATAATGTCTGTGTTAGGTTGCCCTTCTCTGAGGAGTCTTACCTGTCTCTGATTAGCTGGCCATGCTTTGGGGGCAGAGGAGTAAGCTGAGGCAGTGTTTGCTACCAGAGACAAGCTTTCTTGCCTAAGTGGCTTGCATTCCAAAGGTCGCTCACTCATCCTTTTCCATGGGGGACAGTTACAGTTCCCGAAAACTGGAAGAACAGCCCCCAACAGCTTACTTGTTTGTTTTGTTGATTAGGTTGCACTTATAGGTGAGATTATATGGTATTTGTCTTTGACTTTGACAAAGAATGCTTCTCCATTAAGGGTCAGGAAGGTAAATAAACTTTTTTTCAAATAAACCAACATTTTTTACATAGTGTAATCTTGTATTTCCTATGTTTAAAAATTTAGAATGAGGCTCCAGTAATCATGTCTCAAAAGCACAGAGCAAAAAGACAGTTTTTAGGTTTAATTATATTTAATCTGTTATTGAGTAAGCATTATATGATCTCTCTTTTTGAAGTAAGTTTTTTTTAAAGCATACATTATTTTTGTTATAAATGTCCATTGAAAAATACTGGAATGTGGCAAGAATAGTTATTTAATTGCTATGAAAATAAGATGTTCAAAGGTTTCAAGCACAAAATGTGCTATATACACTTTAAGCAATGTCTCAATTTGTATACCTAATTTGACTAAAAAGCTTAATTATACTGAAAATTCCTCTCCTTAAGGGAATCATTTCAGCATTTATGACCATTAAAGAAAAACATCTTGTAAAAGCACAGTAAAAATTTGAAAATGTACATTTTTGGAAAATATACATTTTATCAGCAAAAACAGGTATGGATATAAAAAGTGTTAATGCAAGCACTTTTGCATTCTCATTGAAAAACTATAACCTTGGTCAACTTATAAAGTAGATACTTTACAGGCATAAAAACATAATTTAGAAATCAATGTGTCATTTGGAACCATTTCTCACATATAGCCACACTTAGGAGACCAGGACATTTCATTTTTTACTGAGCCAGTAGTCTCTGGGAATTCTCACAAAGCTGTCATAGAAATACTGAACCGTACAATAACAGTATCTAAATGAAAAAAATAGCACTCAATGTTTTCCAGTTTGTCAGCATGTTTTTAGAATATGGCACCCAGCAATAACACTGAAAACATTACTCTCAGTGTCCTCTAGCAATGGAAAACAGTCTAATTTTCTTCTTTTTTCTTACCAATATATCCATTAGTGCAGAATTACATTTATTTTTATTCCCATACTACTGACTAATAGAGTCCACAACCAAACTTTGTGGTATTAGTTACATGGTCTATACATAAAACATGATTTGCCTTTTTATACATTTGATTTTTAAGATTTATTTTAATAATTAATGTTAATTTCAAGAGAATCTCACCTTGTTTCTTCTGACCCATGATTCCTGCCCATGTTCCAGGCCTCGATTCTGTCTTTACTGTTTTAACATAGCTCCCTCATTCTATTTCACCACAGACTTGATGTTGTATACCTTTTGTCTTCAGAGGAGATGCAACGGAAGAGTCCTGCAGACATGAGTTTTAAACCCAATTTTGCAATTACTAGATTCCAGAAATGAAGAAAGTTATTTAGCCACTTTGAAACTCAATTCCTGCACCTGTAAAATCGGAATAGGTTGTCTTGTGTAAACTGTTAGAGCTCAGAATGAGATAACAAACTCAGGAATCAATACCATGTTATGTATATGTAAAAGTATACTGCCCTTCCAAACATTACCAGAGGCCTCTGTCCTGATCAATAAAAATCATACACTTTACTAGCCATTAGAAATGTCATCCAGCCAAACTTTGTTCTAAAGAGTGTTGTGTAGAATTAGATAAATGCCTTCCTAAAGTAAAATATATTACTC